CCCGCCGCGGGCGCCCGGCACTCTCTTTCCTGACAGGAATGCTCCCCCCGCCCCCACGCCGCGAGCTCCGGCGCTGTCGCCCCTCAGACTTGTCGCCGCGCGAGCGACCCTCACAAACGACGCGACCCGGGTCCGGACGACCCCCTCGCCCTTCCGCCTGCTCCTGTGGCCAGCCTTCCAGAGCCCTGGCCGGCACCCCAAATTCCGCTGGCCGGGCCGAACCCCAAGAGCCACTGCGCCGACTCCCAAGAAGGCCGGAGGGGCAGGAGGACAGCGGGCCCGTGATACCGAGGGGATACGCATCGACTCTTGCCTGGTGCGAACCTAGAAGCTTCTCCTCAGTCCCGCGAGGCAGTCGGATCCGCCAGCGACGCTTCCTTCCACAGGCTCCGGCGTGAACTGGTTTATCGCTAACGCAATCCCCAGCCTCTTGTTTTGCAGACTTCTCCGCGCCACGGCAACTTGACGAGTCGGACCCCAGGCCACACCCCCAGCTCTCCCGATTGGTTCCGTTGATTATTCAAACCCGTGAAGGCCCCGCCTTCTAGCCACCGCTGCTTCCAATTGGTCGGTATCTCTCCAGGCTCGTCCCTCCTGCCTCCGCCTAGCACGTTCGGTGGGTCGTCCAGGTCGTTAACTCCCAGACCCGTTAGAACCGGTCTGGAGAGGAATGTAGTGCTTGATTCTGATTGGTGGCAAGCAAAGGGTTTGAAAAATGGCGGGCCTGACGCTGAATGGCTAGGGCGGGAAACTGGGGGAGTGGTTGGCCTGAAAGGGAAAGCCCCGCGAGATTTAAAAATACGAAGGCTGCAGGTCCGGGGTAGGTTCCGCGGGGTGTGTGGCGGTGACTGGGCGTCGGGGCGCGGGGGTAACAAAAGCAGCCGGCGGTCCAGCCCCTCCCCCGGTCTCTCGCCAGGCCCCGTCTCTCCCCTGGCGGCCACTCCGCTGCGTTGTCTCCTGGGAGCTGTAGTCGCTCGGCCCTGGGACCCGCACCTTGCCGAGAAACAATAAAGGGAGAGGGACTGAGTTGTGTGTCCTGTGGGCCGACTGCCCAGCTCGGCCCGTCGTCGCCGAGGCTGGGGGCAGAGCTCGGGGCGCGGGCGGCCGAGCCGCTGTCCAGCCTCTGGTGGGGCGTTGCAAAACCATCTGGAAGCGGGGCTCTAACAGCCGGTGGCGCTTTCCTCCGAAGGACCGACCCTCCCTCTCCGCTTTGTCTCGAACGTCGAAAGCGGAGGTAATCGCGGGCGGCCGAGGGCGGGGCGGGCGGCGGCTCTGGCCGGGGAACCGCTCTGGAGGCCGGGTCGCCGTCCGCCACCTGGGGCGGCAGCTTAGGAGTCACCTTGGTGGTTATGACCGCGTTTCCCTTATTTGGACTGGTCAGGTTTCTCTGTGCAATGTTAAAGATGCCTATGAGAACCCGATAAAAGCAATCGATCCTCTCCCAGACACCCCCCGCTCCCCAACTGCTTATGTTGAGCCGACAACAAGGCCTCGGATTCCTGCAAGCTCAAGTTTCAATCGGGTCTGGCGTCTGGCGAGCGCGCACCAAAACTTTCCTCTGGATGGGACGTCCCTGGCCATTGTAGTATGCTGTTGCCGTGTTGTGTTTGCTTTTGAGGGTTTGTTTGGTTATTGACTCCTAAGTTGTACTGACAGTTGGCTCCAACGTGGTGTTTGCCCTCATAAACTCGCTGCTTATTGGTTAGATCGTGCTCCTCTATTTCATTTGTTGTTGTGTGTGGTAAGTCCGTTCCGATTTAGAACAGCACCGTGGGGTTTCATTTCAGGGAATTCCAGGTCTTTAATTCCGCAGATCCATTGATAGATTCAAACTGCCAACCTTTCTGTTCAGGGCCAACCACTCAGCCATTGCACCACCAGGCCTGTTATATTTGGTAACCATGCTCATATATCAAAACCAGCAGCTATTTAAATTTACTAATGAAAACTAGGCTTAAAAAAAAAAAAGAAAACTAGGCTTTTAAGAAAATTATTCCGTGAACAGAATTATATGGATCAAACCCTTGGTCTTTAACATTTTCTATACATGAAGCTTCTATATCTGCAAAGCCAGTTACACTATAAAGGTATGATATAAAAATTTTTTAAATCCAAATTGAAAAAGAGCTCATATGATATTACTCAAATAGTAATAGCCAGGTCACTAATGTATTAGATATTTTTTAAAGTTTTAATTGTATACTCTTTTTCAGAATGTATATGTATATCTAGCTATGGCAAAAATAAATTGTGTTTATATAATTTAATTGGGCAGTTATATTCAAGAACTAACTGTATTGAATCTGTTAAGCATTAAGGCTAGCAGTAGAAATATATAGGTGGAAATTTATGCCCTCAGAAATTTACAGCCTAGGGAAAAAGAAACAAGGGAAACAAGAATACAACACAGTAGTTAAAATTGTCTGGTCATGGGAGCATTAGATGACCACCTAAGGCAGTTTGGACAGTAGAGAAAGCCTTCTGGGAAGATAGCATTTGCATTGAGTTGAGCATGTCAAGCAGGAAAAATAAAGGCATAAAGAGTTTTGAAAAGCCTGGATTGTTAGGGTCTACTAGAATTTCAGTATTACAGAAGCTCAAGTTGTGAACAAGAGATGTTGGATGGGCAGGCAACTTAAAAAGCAGTTTACTCCAGGCAAAAAGAATCCTGAAAAGTGGGATGGACAGTGAAATAATTTGACTTACATGTTAAGTGGCAGTGCCTATGACAGGAAATGAGGTCAAGGCTAGTTAGAAATCTATTCATCATTACGAAGGCTCTAATGTTGTAGAAAGAGAAGTATTGGCACTAGATGTGAGAATTTCATATATTATGCATGTATGGGAATACATATATGAGGTAACAAACTTAAAGATAGGCTACACTGCCTTGTTATCTCCAGGCCTTAAAAGCTTTCTATGGAGGCCCGGTGATGTGGTTACGCAGTGGGTGTGGTCATCATGTTCAAAACCACCAGCTCTTCTGTGGGAGAAATAAGGGCTGTCTACTCCCTTATACAGTTACGGTCTCACAGAGCCAATTTTTTTACCCTGACATAGGGTAACTATGAATGAGTGGGCATTGACTCACGGGAGTTTGCAGGGATTTTTATAAGCGTTCTCCCTTTGATAGTGTATAGTATTACCACTTTTGTATTGTTTGTTTCAGTGGAAAATATTAGCGTTTTCCTTCTCCAACAGGTTACTGGGTTTTGTAGGTGGCACAATGGTTAAGTACTGGACTGCTAACCGAAAGATTAGTGTGGTTCAAACCCACCAATGCCTCTAAGGGAGAAAAGACCACATGATCTACTCCTGTAAAGATTACAGTTCAAAACTCTGTGAAGCAGTTCTACTCTGTACTGTAAGGTGGGACATGAGTGGGAGTCAATTCCATGACAAACAACATACATACACATACATAGACTTCACCAAATGGAAAAATGGAATTACAAGATAATGGGATTTTCACACAAACTTTGAAGCCCCCTCCTACACACTAGTGCTGTTCAATTGACTCATAATGATCCCAGGTGTGTCAGAATAGAAGTGTGCACCATAGGGTTTTCAATAGCAGGTTTGTCAGTGAGCCTGGTTGCGTAGTGGTTATGCATTGGGCTGCTAACTGCAAGCTCAGCAGTTCAAAGCCATAGCAACTCCACAGCAGGAAGACCAGGTTTCCCACTTCTGTAAAGAGTTACAGCCTTGGAAACCCACAGGGCCTGTCTACCCTGTTCTATAGGGTCACTGTGAGTTGTGAGTGAGTTACTTTAAAACAGCATTTGATGAAGAGTTAGATAACTGTCCAGTGGAATGAAATAAGTGGACCAAACTTTAAAGTTTTTGCTCATACATGGTATTCTATTAAAATAATCTCACTATGATTTGTTTTTAATTCTTTGTATGACACTGGTATATCACTTTGTTAGCCAAGCTGCCTGAGTTCAGTATCCGATGAAATGAACATATAGCATTAAGCGTTAAGCTAATTATGGATTATGATTGAAGCTGTTTTCAGAGTAGTCCCTGCTTCATGTATATGACTATTCTGTATATAAATTGGAGCTTAACTGCAGCAGAATCAGCCTGGAAGGATTGGATTTTGCTAATTATTTAAATTTCTATAATTTACTAGGTCATTTATCCTGAAAATTTGGACTTCAGTCATCACACTAGTTTAGGGTATATTCATGGAACTATGTATGTATATATATGTGTATATACACACACACACACACACACACACACACACACATATATAGTGTAATTCTCCCATCAAAAGATTTATTGACATTGAATAATAAATTCTCAATTGCTATTTATGACTAATTACCTCATACAGTTATCCAAAATTACCAGTAAGTATATTTATAGAAAGTTGCATTAGGTAATGAGAAAAAATAAAAAACTACTCTGAACACACAGTTTCTCAAAGATAAAAAGTTTGAGTTCCATATTTTTCAGTTTTAAAGACGGGAAGGTGAACTATATTACCAAGCAGGCAATACCTACTTGTGGGTAGATCAGTGATTCTGAGCCAAACTATGCTCACAGTACAGCTGTGAATTATTTGAAATGTTCCTTCTAAGGATCAACTTTTGAGAGACTAGGATTCTTACTCCCACAAAGAGTTAGTGTCAGAAACCCATAAGACTGTTCTACACTGTCTTACAGAGGCACTTTGAATCAGAATTGGCTCAATAGTAGTGATTTTGAGCCTTCATTTTAGTAACTTCTACCAAATGATAGGGTGAGACTCCAAATGAGGCGTTTGTAGCGCACCATGGGGATTGAAAAGCTTATAAGGTACATGGCACCCTTTTGGAGTGGGGCTATGCATATAAGGTGTATGGAATCCTAAAAGGAAACTGGTCAACTTTGCCATCCCACTATGTATAAAATGAGCCATCTCAGAGACAAAGAAAGGGAATCTCACTACCATCACACACAAAAAAGCCAAGAGTGGAATGAGATCCACTGAACCTCCTTAGTCCTGGAGACAGCTGTGCTATCAGAACTGGTGGAAAGCAGTGGCAGAGACACAAGGCAGCTTTGGAGAGAAGGTGGGTTCTCCAGCTCATGGGTCAAAGATGCTGAGTATTTTTGAATAGGAGACTTGGTAGCAGAGTGGAGTGACTTAGGACATTTGTCTGGAGAGTTAGGTTTCCCAAGGCATGGAGCTAGGGTTGTGCTGCTGTCTTTGAACCAAGGCTTACTGTTGGAGCAGGGTGATTGAACACATAATTGGCAGAACTAAAAGGTTTTTAACTTTAAGACCTGAGACACTATATCTTTTAATAGCCGGACTACATCAGCTCTCTTCACCACATTTGCTTATGCACCCATTTTGTCTTTAGTGATTGTGTCGGGAAGGTGAGCATCTCAGAGTGCCTGATTATTATAACAAAGTGTTTTTGTGTTGAGGAAGTACTTGAGTAGAAGCCCAATGTCCATCTGCTTCCTTAATACTAAACCTAAAAATATATGTACATAGATCTATTTACCCATTGTCATATATAAATATATTTACATATGCACATACCTGTAGCCCAAACTCGAGTTTGCCCTTTGTAATAAAGTTTTGCTTTGTTACTCTGCAGCTGCTTGTGAGTCAGTGGTCTTTGGTGGGGCGACTCCGTAACATTTGGAGGCCCCAGCGAGATCCAGCCCACCGTCGCTGACTTACACCTGGTGGTCCGGATCCTACCTCCTTCCCTGCATGGCGCCGGTAAGTCAGGCCTGGTTTCTTTTATTCTGGTTTTTGATGCGCGCCTTTTAAAATTGAGATCTCGTAGGTAGGGAGATGAGAAGGCAGGACGCTGCATTTACTTCTCACTCCAGGCTGAGGCAGTGACGACTGACCGAAGCCCAGGGGAGTCATGGGGAGGCCTTGGCTCCAATCTCTCTTTCCTCAGTGGGAGGAAAGAGAATCAGCGTCTGGATTCTTTTCAGAATCTAGACAACATAGTCTCCAGCGGGGAGACATTTTCGCGAACAGACTCTCTGGTTTCAATTTAACTCTTTGATCGTCTGACTGACTGAATTTTCCACGTGGACAAGTTCCTTCTGCCTTTACCCCCTTCCTTCTGTCTTCTTTGGACTTTTCTTTTTTGGACTAATTCTCATTCTCGCCTGTGGCTGTGGAGCGGTGGCCCCTAAGGAGTGGAATAGAAGAAAGAAAATTGTGTGGATTCTTCTTTACATCTGTATTTGTTGTCTCTTAGTTTTGCCTCCGTGTCTTCTCCCCGTCATCATGGGACAAAGCGCTTCAAAGACTTCCTCCCCTTCGCCACTTGAATGCCTAACTAAAAATTTTTCTGATTTCAGGGCGCATGGGGAAGCCTATGGTGTATCTTTAAATGTTTTTGATTTACGTAAATTTTGTGGTTCTGAATGGCCTTCCTTTGGACTCTCTTGGCCATAGGAAGGGCCCCTGGATATAAATTTGTGTGCAAAAATACAGAGGGTGTGTTATGGAAATCCCGGTCACCCGGACCAAATTCCCTACATAGATGTTTGGATTGATATTTTGTATGACTTCCCCAAGTACCTCAGGGATTGTGGGTTAAAGAAATTGCCTTTACCTCCTCGGAAGCTCTTGGTTCTAAAACCCAAGATCCCTAAACCCACAGAGTCCCCCAGTGCTCCCCCTGTGTTGCCCCCCCGGAAAATGATGAGCCCGTTTCGCACCTTTATCCCCCTCTTCCTCCATACTCCTCACCCGAGTCTTCTTCGAACTCGGCCTTCAGTCCACCCCACACGCACTCGCGGGATGGACAGAGTAAGCCAGAAAAACCGGCAACCGCGGGGCAATTTCCCTTGCGGGAAGTTGGGGGGCCTGAGGGGTTCACTCGGCGCGTCTATGTACCTTTTACAACCTCCAACCTGTATAATTGGAAAGGGCAAAATCCCCCTTTTAGCGAGGACCCCCAGGGACTAATAACCCTTTTAGAATCTGTTTTTTACACCCATCAACCTACATGGGATGATTGCCAGCAGCTGTTAAATGTTTTGCTCACTACTGAAGAAAGGGAACGCATAAAGGCAGAAGGAAGAAAAGCTGTTTTAGGCAGGGACGGGGAACCAACTTCCAACCTATCCCAGATAGAGGAAGCGTTCCCCAGGATAAGACCGGATTGGGACCCCAACACCTCTGCAGGAGAGAGGAGCCTCACCCGATACCGCTCAACTTTATTAAAGGGTCTAAAGGGAGCAGGAAAAAAGCCTACTAATTTATCAAAAGTCACTGAAGTTAAACAGGGGCCTAAGGAAAGCCCCACGGCCTTTCTTGAGAGGCTGCAAGAGGCTTATCGGGTGTACACCCCCATAGACCCCAGCGCCCCAGCTAACCAAGCAGCCCTGGTTATGCAGTTTGTAGCACAGTCAGCTCCTGATATTAGAAAGAAACTGCAAAAATTAGAAGGGTTTGAGGGCAAGTCTCTCTCTGAACTCCTGGCAGTGGCCCAAAAGGTTTTTGACAACAGAGAAGACCCAGCAGAGGCAACCCGGGCCCTTACTCAAAAAATGGCAAAAGTACTTTTGGCCACAGAGGCCGGGGCCCGCCGTCCCCGAAGCCTCTCACGAAAGGGAAATTTCGGCCAGAAACAGCGGCGGCCCAACCAGCCGCGTCTCGGAAAAGATCAGTGTGCTAAGGACACTGGAAAAACGAGTGTCCTAACCAAGGACAAAGAAAACCCAAAGAACCCTCCGCCCCCATCCTAATGGAAGAGCTAGAGTGATGGGGCCGGGGTTCAGCACCCCCCCATGAACCCAGGGTGACTCTCATGGTGGGGGACAAACCAATTGATTATCTAGTGGACACTGGAGCAACCCATTCGGTGCTCACCACACCCATTGGCCCACTCTCCAAGGACACTGCAAAAATTGTCGGGGCTACAGGAAAGGTAAAAGCATACCCGTGGTCATCAGCCAGAGTTTCTAACCTAGGAAAAAGAACTGTAACCCACTCTTTCTTAGTCATTCCAGAGTGCCCTACCCCCCTCCTGGGACAAGACCTGCTCAGCAAGCTGAAGGCCACCATCTCCTTCAAAGAGAACTCCATGCAGGTACAAACGGGGGCCGGAACACTGCTGGTGTCGTTCCCAATTGAAGAAGAGTACCACCTCTTCTCAGTGGCAGACGCCAGACAAGAACCCCAAGACCTTAGGGGACTCCTAGAAAATTGGAAAGCCACAATCCCTGATGTGTGGGCAGAAACAAACCCCCCGGGTCTGGCCAAACAACGGGCACCCATTATAGTTCAATTAAAAAGCTCTGCTACTCCAGTTCGAATAAAACAGTACCCAATAAGCCAAGAGGCTCGGAGTGGAATCAGCCAACATATCGCCCGGCTAAAGGCAGCTGGAATTCTAGTTCCCTGTCAGTCCAATTGGAATACTCCACTCCTACCAGTTAAAAAGGCTCAAACTGGCGACTACCGGCCAGTGCAAGATCTGAGAGAGGTCAATAAGCAGGTAGAAACTATCCACCCGACGGTGCCTAACCCATATACCTTACTCAGCTTACTAAAGCCAGAGCACTGCTGGTATACTGTGTTGGATTTAAAAGACGCTTTCTTCTGTCTGCCCTTGGCAAAGGAAAGCCAAAAACTGTTTGCCTTTGAATGGACTGACCCCGAAAAGGGAGAAAGTGGCCAGCTCACGTGGACACGGCTCCCACAGGGGTTCAAAAATTCGCCCACCATCTTTGACGAGGCTCTAAGTCAAGACTTACAAGAGTTTCGTCAAACTCATGGCCATGTGACTCTACTTCAATATGTTGATGACATATTATTGGCTGCCACAACCCTAACAGACTGTAAGGTTGCTACAGAGGATTTGCTAAAAACCTTAAGCCAACTAGGCTATAAGGTTTCTGCCAAAAAGGCCCAACTGTGTACAAACATCGTCACCTACCTGGGGTATGAGTTAAAGGATGGCAATCGAACTTTGTCAAACAGCAGAATCCAGGCCATCCAAGCTATCCCCAAACCCACCACCAAGAAGCAGGTACGTGAATTCCTGGGGGCAGTAGGATACTGCCGCCTGTGGATCCTGGGCTTTGCAGAAATAGCAAAACCACTTTATGCAGCTACCGGAGGAAAAAAGGCAGAACTGATATGGACAGAGGTGGAAGAAAAGGCTTTCCAGGAGCTGAAGACTGCACTGGTAAGTGCTCCTACCCTAGCCCCTCTGCATGACTGAAGGAGCCTTGAGTGCCCTAGCGTCCATAAGACCTGACCTGTCAGATGTTCCTCTGCCGGATGCTGAAGAGACCTTATTCACGGATGGCAGCTGCTTCATAGAAAACGGAACGCGAAAGTCAGGAGCAGCGGTGGTCACAGAAAAGCAAGTACTTTGGGCACAGGCTTTGGGTTCACAGACTTCTGCTCAAAAGGCAGAGCTAATTGCCTTAACCAAAGCGCTAGAGTGGAGCAAAGGTAAAAAGATAAACATTTACACGGACAGCCGGTACGCGTTCGCCACTGTCCACATTCACGCAAGCATCTATAAAGAGAGAGGACTATTAACCGCAGGAGGAAAGGACATTAAACATGCCACAGAAATCTTAAACCTCCTGGCCGTGGTATGGGCACCGCAAAAGGTGGCTATCATGCACTGCAGGGGGCACCAAAAAGACTCTTCCCCCATATCTAACGGCAACAGGCTGGCTGATCAAGCCGCGCGCCAAGTAGCCGGCTCTAAAGCCATCCTGCCCCTGCTGGAACCCTCTAGCGGCATCGAGCCACCCCATTACTCACAAGTTGATCAAGAGCTGGCCCAAAGGTATGGTGGAAGAACGTCAGCTTCCGGATGGATTACCCTGGAAGATGGTAGGAAACTGTTGCCCCAAGCTGTAGGAATAAAATTAATCAAACAGATGCATGCTAAATTACACCTCAGCGGGCCAAAATTGGCAGAACTCCTGCACAAAGATTATGTAATTAAAGGACTGTACCAGCTAGCCAGAAGTGAAACTGCAAGGTGTCCAGTATGCGCCCAGGTAAATGCTAACCCTGTCCCAGTTTATCACCCAGGACAAAGGTACCGTGGAAAAGCACCAGGTGAACACTGGGAAGTTGATTTTACCGAGCTCCCACGGGCACCAGGAAACTACAGGTACCTCCTTGTTTTTATAGACACTTTTTCCGGCTGGACAGAAGCCTACCCAACAAAGGGAGAGACTGCCCTCATTGTAGTTAAAAAGTTAGTCTCCGAAATTATTCCCCGATTCAGACTCCCCATGTTCATAGGATCTGACAATGGCCCGGCGTTTACCGCCAAGTTAACAAAATTACTAACTGGGGTGCTAAAAATCAATTGGAAGCTGCATTGTAGTTATAGACCTCAAAGCTCAGGGCAGGTAGAAAGAGCAAATAGAACAATTAAAGAAGTCCTCACTAAGTTAAAACAAGAAACTGGCGGAGATTGGGTTAGCCTCCTACCTTTTGCCTTGCTTCGAGTAAGATGCATGCCCCAAAAGCATGGTTATTCTCCATTTGAAATAATGTACGGATTCTCACCCTCATTGATACCCAAGATTGGAAGTGAAATGCTAAATGAAATTAAATTACATAACATGGTTGAGTCATTACAGGCATTACAAGCAGTGCGTCAGTGGATCAGAAGCCAGGTGCCGTCCAGAAAAACTCTAACCCACTACGAAGGAAACCAAAAGCTTCTCTTCAATCCCGATGACCTGGTATGGGTGAAGAAACTAAGCCCAGGCCAATTAGAACCACACTGGGAAGGACCGTACCCTGTTGTCCTGAGCACCTCAACTGCGGCAAAGGTTGCTGGAAAGCAACATTGTATACATCACACCAGACTAAAGAAGGTGGCCGAAAACGAAGGCAAAACATGGAAACTAAGTCCCCAGTCCAAAAAAGGCTCACTCAAACTAAAGTTTGTTTGTTCCTAAGTCTTGTCTTTACAGGTCTCGGCAACACGAAGGCGGCCTCCAACCCCCACAACCCACAAGAGTTTCTATGGACCCTTTCTCAAACCCTGAGCGGAAGACACCTACAAGCTGTCGCCAGCAACAAAACTAAGCATGCGCCAACCTTTCAGATCGACCTCTGTAAGTTGATGGACAAATGGATGTGGGGGAGCCGCGGTTTCCCAAACCAAGGGGTCCTCCCAGACCAAAAAGGCTGTGACACTTCAGAAGGAAGCCATGTCATCGCCTCTGCTTCCATATACGGGTGCCCTAGTACCTTAGGAACCAGAATTTATCTGCCCGACTGTGGAACTCATGAGGACTATTATTGTGCAAAGTGGGGATGCGAAACCATAGGCTCATGGTTGCACATCAGCCATAGAGACCGCTTTATTACGTCAGTCGCATACAATCCACCACCTCTATTCGAATAACAGTGCTCCAACCTCACAACTTTGTTTGGCAAGGAGGGAAAACTTGGGGACTAAGACTTTGGACTTACGGGTATAATCCGGGAACTGAAATCACCATACAAAAAACAGTAATGCCAAGACCTAAAATTTCCGTGGGCCCATTGAACCAAGTACCCATAATAGCCCCTCAAGCACGTCCTACCCTCGCCCAACCGCCCCCAACAACCTCTGGGCAAACTACTCTCCCACTGAATACCGCTAAAATTAGTAACTTAGACATTCCAAAAATGGAGGAAAAACCTGCGTTAAAAACACTTGATGTTATGTTTTCCTTCTTAAATCATACTAACCCAAATGTTACTAGTGACTGTTGCTTATGTCTCAACCCGGAGCCGCCATTCTACGTGGGAATCGCTGCCAATGCATCCTTTGGATCATCAGACCGAGACATCAAAAACCTGAGTAACGCAGACCATTGCGGCTGGGGAAAGGAGCCTAAGCTAACACTTGGAGACATATCAGGGCAGGGACTGTGCATTACCGCTTTCTCAACTTCAACATCGCCTCAAAGGTCTGTCTATCGGGACATTTGCCAAACTTATGTTCACCCCAGCAACAAGTCCAACCAATGGTTCCAAGCCCCAAATGGAACGTGGTGGGCATGTACAAATGGAATTACCCCTTGCGCGTATGCTCCCTCACTTACTAACAACCTTTGTATTCTAACCCACATTGTTCCACAGGTATATTATTATTCAGGAGAAGGGGGGCGTGAGCATCTTAACCTTGACTCTCGCCACCTCTTGGGACGTTTCAAACGTGTGCCTGTGTTAGTTCCAGTTCTGCTAGCACGAGGAGTTGCTGGAGCTACCGCAATTGGGAGTACAGCTCTAGTAAAAGGAGCTGACTTCACTTCTCTCAGCCTGCAAGTTAACCATGATCTCCAAGCCTTAGAAAAATCAGTGACCGCTCTTGAAACCTCCCTAAGCTCCCTAGCAGAAGTAGTGTTGCAAAATAGAAGAGGCTTAGATTTGTTGTTTCTAAAACAAGGAGGTTTATGCATGGCATTAGGAGAAGCATGCTGTTTCTATGTCAATCATTCTGGTGTAATTAGAGAAGGTATGAGTCAGCTTAGAAAACGACTGCAAGATAGAGAAAATGCTTTAACAAGCCAAGAAAATTGGTATCAAAGAATGTTTTCAGCTTCACCCTGGCTCACATCTTTGCTTAGTACTATTGCTGGACCCCTTATCTTGCTTATACTAACGCTCACTGTAGGTCCATGTGTGTTAAATGCCTTCCTCAAGTTAAATCAAAAACCGCTTACAAGACGTTAAGTTAATGGTCCTTAGAACTAATTACCAAGCTTTAGCAAACATAGAAAGTGAAGAATCAACTATTTGATTCAGTTACTAGGAGAGGAGGGAATGTTAAGGCTCAATAGAATGAAGGAGCTTGACTTAAGCTACTCCATTTTGAATTGTGTTACTCCATTTTGAAACTATGTTATCTCTAACATGAAAAACAAGTCGTAAAAGTAAGCCACTATCCATTTTGAATTGTGTTACTCCAGTTTGAAACTATGTTATCTCTAACAGATGAAAAACAAGTCGTAAAAAGTAAGCCACTGTGACCTTGCACATATCCATTTGCAAGTGTCAGCCAGGAACATCTGGCACAAGATAAACTGAACAGAACATACCTAACTGCCCACATCCTGTTATCTTGAGCAAACATCCCCATTCTGTACTCTACCCCCTTCTCTTTGTTGGTTAGAAAGGTATAAAAGGAAAAAGAAAATTTTGCTGAGCGCTTCAGCTTTGGACCCTGCGTGGCCATGCTGTAGCCCAAACTTGAGTTTGCCCTTTGTAATAAAGTTTTGCTTTGTTACTCTGCAGCTACTTGTGAGTCAGTGGTCTTTGGTGGGGCGACTCCGTAACAGGGACCAATATTGAGAGTAGCCATACCAGGAGGGGAAGGGGAAGGTGGGGTAAAAAAGGGGGTACTGAACACAATGACCTACCTATAACCCTCTCCCAGGGGCATAGACAACAGACATGGGCGTGGGGGGAGACATCGGACAGTGCAAGACATGAAAAAATAATTTGTAAATTATCAAGGGTTCATGAGGGAGGGCGGGGGGAATGAGCTGATACCAGGGGCTTAAGTAGAAAGAAAATGCTTTGAAAATGATGATGGAAACATATGTACAAATGTACTTGTGACAATGTATGGATGTATGGATTGTGATGAGTTGTGCGAGCCCTCAATAAAATGATTTTTTTTTTTTTAAGATTTTTAACAGCTGCCCATCCAAGGGCCAGAGTGTGTCTCGGGACATGGCGGAGGAAGCTATCCTGATTAAAGAACCTTACCCTAAGTGTTTCTCACCTGAATTATAACTTCCCTAATATACTCCAGAATCCTGGGTATTGTGAGTTCTGTGCGGCCATTGCAGTGGATTACCAAGCCCAGCAGAGAAGTACAGTGTTCCATGGGAGGGATGGTTGATGTCTGGTGCTGAAAGGACTGAAAGACGGAGGCATGTCTGCCCTCCACCTCATAGGAATTGATTCAGCCTTGAGGTAATGGTGATAATGATTCTTCTCTTCCCCACTTGTGAAATTAGAGGAGGCCAGACATTCCTGTCACCATTTTTGTACCGGCTTAATTCAGAGATTGAATTAATATAGTCTACAGTGTATTTTTCTGGAAACCTGAAAAGAAAAATTAAGAAATGAAAAGATCTCACTCTGCTAAAATTTAGAATACAATGTAAAAAAGTCAGTGTTTTGTTGTTTTTTTCAACACACCATTGTAAATTAAAAATGTGGTACATGGCACCCTAATACAGAAATTAGTCAATTTTGTTAGCTCACTAAATATAAAATGAGCCATTCCAGTGGCAGAAAAGGGAATCTCAGTACCATCGAAGAAGAGCTAGGAGTGCATATGTGCATCTTTTGTGTCCAGGATCCTGCTCTGAACCTCATTCCTGGAGACAGAAAGTTATGATACCAGCAATTCCATTTGATGTTCTCTAACTTCACAAGGGGAAAGGAAGAGTTACCATTATCAACATCAAATACTCAAGGCGGAGTTCTGTAAGTCAATAGTTTGACCTGCCTCCACCTTCCAATCATCCTGCCCAAGGCACTGCCTCTCAGCGGGGTTCAGTAGTTCACTGCAGTGGTCATACAGACCTCTCAACCCCCTAGTGGGGTTTATTAGAGAGGTTAACTGGTTACAATTCAGATAAAGGCAATACTCAGAATGTATTTGTTTAGTCAGAACTGTTTCTTTGCTATGCTCACAGGCAGGCATGTCTCTGGCTCTCAGCCTCTTAGCCGGGCTTTTGTCCTGCTTGGGCGGTGTTAAAAAACATTAAGGCTGCTAATAAATACCCAAAGGGGATCCACTCCACTATAATCCTTAAACTGAAGGCATTCAGCTCCCCTAATTAAGTGCCTAGAGGTACCCTACTCCACAAGCCAGCCTCGTGCCCCATCAGCCCCTCTGGGAGAAAGAGGACTTTCTACTCCTGTAAAAAGTTAGTCAGAAACTTACAGGAGCTACCCTATCCTACAAGGTCACTGAATCGGAGCCGACTTGATGGCAGTGAATTTGTTTTCTTTTATAAATTCTGTGGGTTGGGAAGGTCACCATTCCATCTCATTGTCTGATTCCTGCGTCTGCTGCTATTCCTTGACCTTTCTCCTCTTTGTCTCAAGCTGTTTCCTGGATCAAGAAGGTTCAGTACACAGGAATCTTGAGATCCAAAGGATGCACCCTGTTTCTGGCTCTTCTCTCATGCTAGAAGTGAGATTTCCCCTGCCCTACTTCTAAGATGACTCATTTTATGCTTAGCAGGATGTCAACCACAATCCTGTTAATCATTCACAGCTGAATCATTATCTAATAATTATCTTCCCTTATGTTTTTACTCCAATCCATCAGGAAAATGAAGGCCATTTGATGGGTGTATCAAAGACTATCGCTAGAAGAACCAGATTAAATAATCGCTGCATTAATATTTTTGTGTAACTTTTTGTGAATTTTAACAAATCCAGGTACCATCATTTAGCTCCACCTCAGAATAACTCTTTAGATGTCCAAATAGAACTGTGCTCTGTAGGGTTTTCAACAGCCCATTTTTCAGAAGCAGATCACCAGGGCTTCCGAAGTACCTATAGGGGGGCTCAAATGTCCAACCTTTTGGTTAACAGATGAGCTGGTTAACCTTTTATACCACTTAGGGACCCTCTAGTGTATCTAAAATAACCCAAATATCAAAAAATATACTTCCTATAAGTCCCCACTACCACAATTAGAGGTGAAAGGAAATATTGCAAAGGATCTGTTTTTAAAAGCCTTAAAGATCTGTACAAGCTACCAGAAGATAACTTGCTGAACTAAAATTCCAGTCCGAGAAGAGCTCTTGGGTATGTAGATGATTTTTTTTGAACATTTATAGACTTTAGACGTGAAATTTCTGAGAATCAATCTGACTTGAATCAGCCTGAAAGAAATTTACAAACCTAAAGAGAATCCACCAAACTCGTTAGTAGTGTACAGTTCACATGATAAATGGGAGAGTAGAGGACGCCTAGACATACATAATGACCTGCTCTTATTTGGATGTTTCCTGAACCCTAAGAGGTAGGAAGCTATGCCAGAAGCTTCTAATAGAGTGAAGTCTCCCAAGGCGTCATTGTGTGTTAGGGGAGAAATATTGTTGACTTTTGTTTCGATATCCAGGGAGAACGCCAGAATTTAAAATGTTTCAGATAGACAAAGGCTGACAGACCTTATTGTCAGCAGTACTGCCTAAGTCAAATGATTGTAGACGTAAATGATTGCATGGACTTCAGAGGAGGGCAGAGGGAAATACCGATGCGGGTAACACTGTACCAAGTATCTCAGTATTGCCTATTTTCAAACATACTGATTGCAATGTTTTATGGACTTTTAAAGTATGTGGACTGAAATGTGTGACAACAGCACAAAGAGTAAAAGAGGAATAAAATTTTAAACTGGTGTAGAGGTCATCGTTCAAGAAGTAGTTAATGATTGTATTAAACTAATAAGCCCAATATGCTACTCCTTGATTTGAATTTGAGTTAGTTAATACGTACTTTTTCATGTATTATATACATTAAACATTTTAAGTATTTTAAGTGGTAATAAATCTTTGTTTTAGTAGCTTATTCAATCACTTTAGACAAAGTAAAATATTGCAAGAATTAAAATGTATAAATTGTACAACCTATCAAATTACTTTTTTAAATTATAGCCCATCAGGCCTTACATTGTTGTCCTTGGTTGCCATGGAACCGGTCCCAACTCATGGCAACCTTACGTATTATAGAATATTGCTCACTCTTGTCCCGTCTTCATGGTTCTTCGTATATTTGAGCCCATAGTTAGTCTGTACTAAAAAGCCAGCATGCCACCCCTCTATCATGGGTGATTTGTCATGCTGTGGTTGTTTGCTTGATGTGATGCTGGAAGCTTTCAAATACCATTAGGGTCATTAAGACAAACCTAGGACTTGTGCTTTCTTCCAAAAATTAGCCAATGAAAACTTTTGGATCATAAAATTTTTGTACCCAAGCAATCGTGGGAATGATACAGAAGTGGTCATTTTTTCCTTCCACAATTCATGGTATAGCTATGAATGGGACTAACTCAAGGCACCTAACATTTCTACTCTGCAAGTGGAAAATTAAGTCATCATTGTTAACTGTGGTTGAGTTGGTCCCCAAGCTAGGTGACCTAATGTACAGTTGTGAGACAGGTAGTGGCCGCAAATCAGAATGATAAGCCTGATTAAACCTAGATATTTCACGTAGAAAGCAAGAAGTACACTATGAAACCACTGTTTTTATACATCCAAATTACATATCTCCATTGCCACTGAGTTGATTTTGACTCAGAGTGGCCCTATACTACAGGGTTTCTAAGATTGTAAATCTTGATGGGAGTAGTCGCTGGTGGGTATGAACCACGGACCTTTCAGTCAACAGCTAAGCGTATACCCTCTATGCTAACATGTAAAGGCTCTTTACATTCAAAATAATCTAGAGAAATTTAAACCCGAGTAATGAGAACTGTGGAATACAATACGAAGCTAGGGGATCCTTTGAAAAGTGAATACAACTAATCTAAAGAACTGGAACCCTGTCTGATGCCAATGGTTAAGCACCTAAACAAATAACTTCACATACAAGAATTAGCACAAATCCAGTTCCTATGATGCAGAGGTCAAATGTATCCCAGATTTACACATTCTTTATTATACCACTCCATCTCTGACGCCAGCCACTCTTCCCTCCCTCATTTGGGTTTAGCAATTTGTTGCAACTGTCTCAAAGAACTCACGCTGTACTAAGAGGTTTGTTAAGAAACGGTACAACTCAGGGTTAGGAAGCATGTAGGTAAAATCTCCCTCTTTAGGACAGCTCTTTTAGCTCTTCTCAACCATACAGGCCTCCTCTTGGCTGTACTGCCTGTCACCCAGTTCTCTCCCAGACCTCTCATCTTCAGTTTTACAGGCCTTGGTCGTCTTACAAATCTATTAGGAAGTTCCTTGCTTTCTTTATGCTTCTCTTTTGGCTTGCAAAACTTTTATGGGATTGGTTGCAAATAAGGGGCTTCAAAAACCTTGTGGGAAAACAATTAAAAGATAACAAATTTTCCCATGAACATGTTAAAGATCCATTATATAAAAACAACTCCTTGTCAGTTCCAAAGCCTGGCCCTTCCCTAAGGCACCACATTCTAACCAAATTCTCACTTGGTAGGTCATAGACACTTCATTTGCACAATAGGTTACAATTTCATTTGCATAGTCCAAAGCCACTTCATTTGCATGTGCATAACTTGCAAGGTACACAC